ACAGTCCCCTGAATGCATCATCAGACAACCAAAGGGTACACCCCACACGCCTGCCCCCCCCCCATCCCGGTTGCCCCTCATCACATTTCCCCCCCTTTTATTACAGTCCTCTGAATGCATCATCAGACAACCAAAGGGTACACCCCACACGCCTGCCCCCCCCATCCCGGTTGCCCCTCATCACATTTGTGACTTTTTCTTGTTCCCATCCTTGGGGAAACACTTTGACAAGTGATCACTCGTTTAGTTTTTTATTTTATTTTATTATTATTATTAAGGAGCTCTGGTAGCGTAGTGGTTATGAATCGGACTGCAAACCTTAAGGTCAGCAGTTCAAAACTACCAGCCGCTCTGCGGCAAAAAGATGAGGCTTTCTGCTCCTGTAAAGATTTACAGCCTCAGAAACCCTGTACAGGGCTGCTATGGGTCGGAATCGACTCGACAGCACTTAACAACAACAACAACATTATTATTATTATTGTGAATCATGTGATAGTTTACATGGGAGAACATTAATTTTACATTCATCCTATTGTATATCGTTTCATTGCCATGGTTACAATCCCCTCCATGCATCATCAACCAACCATAGGGTATATACTACAAGCCTGCACCCCAGTCGTCAGCACACAGACACTCTCCCTGTCTGGGTCTAGAGTCTCCAGACACTCCATCTCTCCACGTCATCATCTCTGCCTCCAGCTCTGGCGTCACTGTTTCTCTGGGTAGGGTCCTGCACTCTGCTCTTCTCCCTTGATGGTCCCAGGGACCTCCACTCCTGGACTGCAAAGTCAATCACTCCCCTCCGTTTGCTACAAAACATCTACCTTTACATTTCCAACTCTCACAGTCAGTCCTGATAGTAATTATTCACCATTGTACCACAAGGGACCTATCCCCATCTCCTTTCATCAGCCCCGCCCAGACATATTGGATACTACTTAGTGGAGATTCTACCTTCCCCCGCGCCCTCTGGATCTAGGCTCCCTCTTGAAAGCTTGTAAGCCAGTCACTTCTTGCCTTTGTAGCCCCCCATTTTGGGTAGCCAATGTCCAAGTTGCCC